TCTAACCCTAAAACCACTTTTTCCACCCGCACTCCCTGACCTTCCAGGGAAAGCCCTGCCTCTTTGTATGCCTCATTTCTACCCTCCATTACGCCCCTTTTGGTGCAACAACGTTTGGGTTTTGACAACTTTTTGACAAAAACGCTCCAACTTTGAGGGCTCCGATCTCCATGACCATCCACCCAGAGACTCTCATCCTTTGCATACTACCATCAAAATGGCCTATCTTCCAGATGGAATCATTTGCAGGAAGAAAATCCCAACCCTAACCCTGCCTAGCCCACCCTTGTAACCCTAACCCTAACCCTAACCCTAAGCGCACACTTTTGCGGAGCGTCTACCGGAAAATTGGCAGTCTAAACTGAGTAGGGCTACTATTCAAAAGTTGTTCAGAAATGACTTTTGAACAACTTTCATTATGCAGCCCTACTTGGTTTATTTCTCAAGACACCTTGTAACCCAAGTCTTTCACCCAGCAGATGTGGAGATCTGGTGGGCACAGTGTTGAAAATGCTCGAAAATCATCGGAAATTGACATTCTGCCCACACAAACTGCCTTCCACGTGTCCAATCAGGCTGCTCCAAGCACCATTGCAAGCCTGAGGATAAGGACATAGAATTCGGGCCAGCAGGTAAATTGGTCAGAATGGCACTTGATCAGGACCCCCAACCAAATTGTGCCCAGGCTGCTGTTTGAAGCACCAGTGGCTTGCTCAAGGGGCAGTTGTACCACCACCGCCCATCCCCCCCTCTGTCCAGCTTTCATTGCCTTGCCTATCATTCACCCACAGCCTCCTCTTTCCCGGAGCTCCAGCGTTTCGACAATCTCTCCCCTCCTCTTCCGCTTCAGTTGCCCTGCCACCCTTCGCTACCCAAAACCTTCCTGCTGCGGACAACGCGCCACCACATCTGTAAGCTCATCTCGCGGGGGCCGCATCACCGTCCAATCCGCAGCCCCATCTCCTTCGAGGAAGTCGCACCGACCGCATCGCATGCCAGCTAGGACTGAGCAGACTCGGCGCAGGAAGGAAGCACGCGAAGGGTCAAACCCGCTCAGACGAACACTACGTTCCAGGCTTCGCAGCCGTGTAGCGCAGCAATGTCGATTCGCATTATCAAGCATAGCTCGTTATCGTCGTCAGGCCGAGAAGCCCATCTGCTCCTCCCTCTGGCGATCCTTCTGCAGCTTCTTTTCGAGCTTGGCAAACTCGTCGAGGGCAATCTCCTCCTCCTGGTCGAGCACCTGCAGCGTCGGGGCGGGGCGGAAGATCGAGGTCCGGGATGCGGGATGTCAGATGCGGCAGCGAAGGTGTCAGCAAGACGCGCGGTGCGAGGAGAGAGAGGGGGAGCAAGCTGGCACGACCACCGAGCGGGAGCGGCACGGGGCCCAGACGGACAGGCAGACGGGGCGACCGGAGACACTCACCTGCTCGACGCCCTTGACCTCGGGGATGTAGTGCATGAGCATGCGTTCGATGCCGCTCTTGAGGGTGACGGTGCTCGAGTCGCAGCCGCGGCAGCTTCCCTTGAGCTTGACGCGGACGATGCCGTCGCCGTCCTCTTGGAAGCCGCGGTACTCGAGGTCGCCGCCGTCCTCCTGGATGGCGGGGCGGACGCGGGTGTCGAGGAGCTCCTTGATCATGGCGACGACCTCGGAGTCGGTGTCGAGGATGACGGTGTCGCTGCTGCCCTGCTGCGAGTCCGGGTCGGTGAAGAGGGCGTGGCCGGCGGTGAAGAACTCCATGATGGCCGAGTAGATTTCGGGCTTGAGGGTGCTCCAGTTGTGGTCGGCGTCCTTGGAGACGGTGACAAAGTCGGGGCCGTAGAAGACCGAGACGACGCCGGGGACCTGCATGAGCTGCTTTGCCAGGGGCGACTTCATCGAGGAGCGCGTGTCGAGGAACTCTGCGGTGCCCGACTCCATGACCTTCTGGCCGGGGAGGAACTTGAGCGAGTCCTCGTTGGGCGTCGACTCGGTCTGGATGAACATGGTGCGGCGCTGCTGCCGGGACAGGGCGGGAGCGGCCGGGGAGAGGGCGGGACGACGGGCGCGGGTGGCGGCATGCCTCGTGAGCGACGGAGACGAGGGCGATGCGGAGGACGAAGCCGAGGACGAAGCGAGAGAGTGCAGAGACGATCGAGCGGAGGGTACGAGGGCGGCCGAGGCGCGGCTGGTGCTCGCTGTGGCGGCCGAAGCGAGGGCGGAGCGGGCAGCGGCTGCGCCGAGCAGATGCCTGGTGGCCAGCGATGTTGTCGAAGAGGCCAGCATGGTGAGCGAAGACGTGCGATGCTGTGTGAGCTGTCGACTCGTGGTGGGGGATGGGCGTTGATGGTGGCGAGGAGCCGAGGAGGTGGCAAAGGTGCAGCGAGGGAGGCGAAGGAGCAAAGACCCGGTCGGACGTGCGTGACTAACCTGTCCTCCCTGCTCCCTCGGCCTCCCGCTCCCTCGCTCCCTCGCTCGCTCTAACGCCGGGACAAAGTGGAGATTCCGCCTGCCGCTCGCAGGGAAAGGCGGTGCCGAAGGTGGGCGGGCGTGCGTCTCTCGTGCGAGCGGATGGGGCTACGGCTTTGGCGGCGGGGAGGCGGGCACGCTGGTCCGGCCGCCCTCCTCCACCCGCCCCCGCATTCACATGGGGGCCAGGCGGCAGGCGAGCGGGCCGTGCGTGACTTGGGCCGAGCTGGGCACGCTCCACCATGCATACGCCTGCCAGCTGCCAGCCCGAGCTGCTGCTGGTGGGCTCCCCCCGGCAGTCCGGTCCAGGGCTTCACCCGAAGCAGGGAAGCGACAGGCAGCCAGCCAGCCCGCAACGTCCATCATCGCCGCATCGCCCGCCTCGCTGCCCGCCTCGCTGCCTGCCTCGCTGCCTGCCTTTTCTTCTCGTCCAGACGACGACGGCCTTCACGTCTCCCTCTGCCGCCGCCCTTCCCATCGACTTCCATCTCTCCCCGCCATCGTCCCCTCCTCTAGCACGCCTGACCACCAAGCCGACCGCCTGCTCGCCCGCCATGATTGCCGCCACGATCCGATCCTCGCTCCGTCCCTCGGTGGCCCGCTCGGTGCTGCCCTCGACGCGCCACCTCTCGACCTCGCTGCCCCGCCTCTCGAACCCTTCAGCGGCGGCGACGGCGTCAATCGGCTCGTACGAAAACATCCTCGTCTCGCAGCCCGCCTCGGGCGTCACCCTCATCACTCTTAACCGTCCCAAGGCGCTCAACGCCCTCAACTCGGCCCTCTTCCGCGAGCTCAACGACGCCACCGAGGCCGCCGACGCCGACCCCTCGGTCAGCGCCATCGTCCTTACCGGCAGCGAAAAGGCCTTTGCCGCCGGCGCAGACATCAAGGAGATGAAGGACGTCGAGTACGCCCACGCCTACAAGACCAACTTCCTGGGCCACTGGACAAAGCTCACCACCATCAAGAAGCCCATCATCGCCGCCGTCTCGGGTTTCGCCCTCGGCGGCGGCTGCGAGCTTGCCATGATGTGAGCCGGCGGCGTGCGCGTGCGACAGCCTCTTCTCGTGCTGACACGCGCGTCCTCACCTCCCTCTCTGCCCCGATCGTCACCTCCCTCTCTGCCCTATCTCCACCCCTCGGACAGGTGCGACATCATCCTCGCCGCACCCACCGCCCAGTTCGGGCAGCCCGAGATCAACCTCGGTGTGATTCCCGGTGCGGGCGGCACGCAGCGCCTGACCAAGGCGGTGGGCAAGTCGGTGGCCATGGAAATGAACCTCACCGGCCGCTTCATTGGCGCCGACGAGGCGGCGCAGCGTGGCCTCGTCTCGCGCGTCGTGACCGAGGGCAGCGTCGTCGACGAGGCCGTCAAGGTCGGCTCGATCATCGCCAAGAAGAGCCAGATTGCCATCCAGGCCGCCAAGGAGGGCGTCAATGCCTGTAAGTCTCGTCACGTACAGAGGCGCATCGGAGCGGCGACAGGCCCGCGGCATAGCGGCACCTGACTCATCTTCCCTCCCTTACCCTGCATCGTCGCTCCCATTTTTGCTTACCCGCGCTTCTCTTTTCCTCCGACCGCACAGCGTTTGAGCTCTCGCTGCAGGAGGGCACGCGCTTCGAGAGGCGCCTCTTCCACTCGCTCTTCGCCACAAAGGACCAGAAGGAGGGCATGGCCGCCTTTGCCGAAAAGCGCAAGCCCAGCTTCAAGAACGAGTAAGGGCATGGGCGGGCGAAAGACCCGGGCGACGGCGGGGCTGCACGCAATCCCTCGTAGCCACGGACGCCATGCGGTCGGCCCTGGCGCCACGTCCCCGGGCGCTGCCGATGTCGCCGTAGAAGAGGTAGCAGCATGGCGCTGGAATCCATCTCTCTGTTTCGCTGCCTCTGCGTGATCGAACGTGGGCCACGGCGCGACAAGAAACCAGAAGTCTTCCTCCCATCCAAAAGCAGCGGGCGGTGGTCGACGACGTGCGCTTGTGCGGCGCAGGTATCGGCACCGGCCGATGGGGATGGGGATGGGGATGGGGTTGGAGGTTGGGGTCGGGGGTTGGGGCCGTGCACGGGCCGTTGCGGTGGGGATGAACCGACGCGTCGGGTCAGCCGACCCAGCCAGGCAGGCTAGGCCAGGCCAGGCCAGGCCAGCCGCCCTGCCTCTTCTCGCTCCAGGCGCGGCGCTGGGGCCGGAAGGTGGGGGAACGCTCAGTCGAAGCTCTGGCCTGGACCCTGACTGGCTGGCTGGCTGGCGAGCTGTCTGGAAGGCCAGCGACGCTTGCTTCTCGAGCTTGCCTTGCCTCCCGCCTGGCCAGGCCAGCAGGCCTGCCTTGGCTGCCCCGCGAACGTAACGCTGCCAGGGCGAGGTGTCGGGCCTGCCGCTCCTTTGGCTGAGAAGGGGTATAAGAGGAGCGCCCCACATTGACCGCCCCACCCCATCTCGCCTCTTCCCCACCACCACCACCACCACCCGTTCTTCCGCCCGCCTTTCCCTTCTTCTCAGCAGCAGCAGCACCGCCACCGCCACCGTTACCGTTACCGTCGCGACACCACCACCAACACCACCACTACCACCACCACCAGACCGCACCGCACCGCACCGCACCGCACCGCACCGCACCGCACCGCACCGCGCCGCACCGCACCGCACCGCACCGCACCGCACCGCACCGCACCGCACCGGCACAATGACGTCGCCCACGTCGCCCAAGCAGACCAAGCTGCGACCGATCCACAACCCCAACGTGGACCACGCCGACCTCGACGACATCGGCGACACGTACCGCACCCTCAAGCAGGGCGACAAGAAGCTGCGCGGCGAGGGAACCTCGCACTGGATCGCACACGCCGAGGACAACGACCAGAGGACCGAGCGCAAGGCCGAAAAGGTGCCCGTCAAGAAGAACGCAGAGGTGCCCGTCCGCCTCCAGGTGAGCAGAGCAGGGCAGAGCAGAGCAGATGCCCATCGCTCGCAAGCGGTGCTCGTTCTCGTCGATCGAGTCGCTCCGCTCCGGTCACGTCAGATCGGACCGGATCCCGCAGGGCTCTGACAAAGCAAGGCACACAGGGGATAACGGGGCAGACGCGAGACGCGCGTAGCGGAACACGTTCGCGCGTCTCCGTGCGTTAAGGCCAACGTGTACCGACCGGTGTACCGCCGTCGAACGTACGTA